AATGATGGAACCTTTTTATATATATATAAAATGACACTCTTTTGCCTTGCTATTGATTTAGCTATTCTTCCTCTTTACAAAACAACGTTAGGTAGCCTAACATCTATTAGCTAGGCCTACTACAACAGTTAGCGTTCAAAGCCTTGGCCCAATGTTGTTTCTTTTATACATGAAATAGGCTACACCTGCTACTGACAGCACACTCAATGCGTCTTGTTTTTTAACGCTCACACGCTCTTTAGCACATTATCCAGTTTTTGGCGTTATTAATCTCCTCAAAGTCAAATAGGCTTAAGGTAAGGAGGCAAAAGAATCAAACATTATAAACAAAAGACCCCCTTTTTAGCAAAGCTGACATGAGAGCCTTTGAACGCTTAACGAGTCCCCATGAAACTCCAACAAAATGAGGACGTATTCTTTAACTAAAAGGTCCCCCCACACAATAATTTAAAACCACCAAAAGGGGGACGAAAGTCAGTGCACAAAAAAAAGAGAGAGATTCATTGTAATTCATTGACTTGTTCAAAACGCCAAGCTAAAAAGGCGAGAAGACAAGAGCGGACATTCATGGGTACAGATGCTTTCTCGAGGAGAGACTCCAATGTATGGCCTTTGTTCGCGCTGCGTTAAACTGTTTAAAAGAGGGGTTAACGCAATCCATCAAATTGTCTGAAATTGTGTGAAAATTTCAGAAACCATATGGCCTCCAAACGTTAGCGTCTTTTTTATGTGGCTGGACACACTTGTTTCAGTATGGTGAACCGCAGGAGTCCAGCCATGCGCCATTGTCACTTGTCACATCAGGGTGGATGGCTCATTTGTCCTCAGCTTTCATGCTTTACGCTGGAAATTACAGCTTCATCCGTGAACAAAAAGGATTATATAGCCCTGGATAAACTGGACCAAAACTTGGTGTTTTTGTGTCTTTCTTCTCCTTTTTCTCCCCAGCGCCCCAGATTTGTGTTTCTCACATAAATTTTGCCCAGAATGGAAAAACACACGTTGTTGGGTCAAATGCCAAGTCACGCTATTGTAAAGTGAGAGAGAGAGCGGAGTAAGCCAAAGGCTTTCTGTTTCTTCTGCAGAGAGCAAAAACAATAGCGTTAAAGGGGCAAGAATGTTTTTCTTCCCTTCTTTTTTATTTTTGAGGAAAGAAATCAAGGCAGTTAGCAATTACAAAAAAAAGTATGAAGTTCGTTAGCTCTTCTGTCAATGAATGTTTACATGGCAGTTATGTAATATCTAAAAATGTTTACGTTTTTTAAAATAAAAAATATATATTTGTCACAGGGCTATGCGTAAAATGTAGTTCATAACAACTACTGCAGTATAAAACAAAGCTCAGACTTTTATTTCTGTATTGCTGTCAATCACTTAACATTTAGAATTTATGCAAAAGGGTAAGCAAAACAAAACGATTCTTGCTGTTGTTGTTGTTGTTAATAATAATAATAATAATAATAACAATAAAAGAAAATTTTTGCCAGAATATATCACGATTGTTATTGATTTACACACTCGGCAATAGCATCTTTATAAAAGGTATAAATGTTTTTATTTTCAAACTCAATACATTAAACACATTCGGTATTGGTACAATGGCCTAATTTTGAAAGGCACTATATTGCAAGTGAATTGTACAAAAACTTTACAAAAAAGCAGTCACTGTCGATTGTGTACAAATGAAGCATAGGCTACGCAATAAATACACATTTGTAAACAATAGTTTTTGTCTTTAAGAGGTTGTATTGCTCTGGTTGTTGCCCTGATTTGTGACATATTATTTTATTACACTCATTAAAGCCATTACATTACATACAATATCTTATATATAAAAACGTCAACAGCTAGTACTGAACAAATATAGGAGTTAAACTTGCATAGTCTGGCTATAAAACTCATTTTAACACAACAATCATGTAGATGGTTATGTGCATGCGTGTGTGTCTTAAAATATAAATTTACAAAAGTTGAAATCAATATGCAGTGGTTTAGCTACATCAGACATCGACGTCTATTTCCACATCCTCGTCCTCGGAGTAGTCTTCTTGACTTGTGTGGTCTGAGAGAGACGACATGGGGGACAGACATAATTTGTGCACACTCTTGTACTCTTGACCCAGCCGTGGCGAGCACTCAGACCCAGGATGCCCCGTGGCTCCAACCGCACACCTCTCCAGATCGGCCAGTTTAGCGATTTTATCCAGAGGCACTTCACCTGTGGATCTGACTGACTCCACGTCCGCTTTCAGCTCCTCCAGATCTCGCTTTAGTTTTGCCCGTCGATTCTGGAACCAGGTTATGACCTGCGCATTTGTCAGCCCCAGCTGATGGGCAATTCGGTCTCTGTCGGCAGGTGACAAGTATTTCTGATGGTGAAACCTTTTCTCTAGTTCATATAACTGGTGGTTAGTGAAGGCCGTTCTAGATTTTCGGCGCTTTTTGGGACTGTCCCTTTGACAAAACACAGTCAGCCCATCCCTTCCTGTGGATAAAAGAAAATGATGCAATATTAGGTGACACCGACAGTTTATGGTTTTGTAATCGTGATTAAAATAAAGTTACAGTAGAACAAATTATTAGAATATTGTTGATATATTAATAATAATTGCTAATAAAGAAACTATTTACTTTTTTATAACAATTTTAACTTTAATAATGTATTATTTTTGTATTGAAAAGTTGATATGGTATAAGAGATCTAAAAATGAGTCAAGCTATGAAAATATATTGATCAAAATTAAAGTCAAATTAAACATTTAAATTAAATGTGCTTTATTGGCATCGATGGTTCCATGAAGAATCTTTAACATCCATTGAATCTTTCCATACACAAGTGTTCTTTACAGTGGCAGTGGTTCTTTTACGAAAGTTTCTTTGGAGAACCAAAAATGGTTCTTATGGCATTGCTGTAATCACGTTTTAAAAAGTGGTGACCTGTAATTGTTACCTGAAAGAGATATTTCTACCTGGTTTAACCCATAAAATGTAGTTTTGTTGGTGTACATTAATGTATTTGATTCAGCGATATTAAATTGTTTTGAATAAAACCATATGGGCATGGGCGTTGTTTTTTCTTTTGACATTGGTGGGGACATAACAGCAGACCCCATAACAACGTCTTAGGTAATATCAGTGGTTTGACATATTTCAGATGCGTCAGAAATTACAAAAAACATATACATATATTTAACTGTTTGATCAAAATAATTGCTAGGGACAATTTGGTAGTCGCCTATATAGCCTATAGGGACATGTCCTAATGTCCCTACCTAATTCTACGCCCAAGAGGTAACCATTTTTCAGGGTTAGTTGCAGCTTGTTTAACTATTTAAATTTATGCATTTAGCAGACACTTTTATCCAAAGCGACTTACAGTGCATTCAGGCTATACATTTTTTATCAGTATGTGTGTTCCCTGGGAATTGAACCCACGGCCTTTGCGCTGCTAACGCAATGCTCTACCACTGAGCCACAGGAACATTACAGACTTATAGACTTATTATAGACTAATTTCAGGAAGTCAGTCACCCAAACAATTCTCTATCGTTTTCTCTTTTTCCTATTAACTATTTGTACATGAATTGTAAAAAGATTATTTTTACAATCTAAAACTTCATTTACAATCCCTAAACATGTTCTTTTCTTACCTTCTGCTGCTTGGAGTACACCTAATTCGAGACCTTTGAACGTTTTGCTGGCCAGTTCCTGAAGAGCACACAGAGGCGATGTTTGAGTGATGAGAGTCTGCCGTGATATAGTGATGCTTTGCCGGGGTCTCTCTGATGCTGGAAGCCGGTGGATCTTGTGAGTTCGTTTGACAGTCGGTTTGCTGAGGATGTCTGCGATGCTGAAGGGGGTTAATGGCTTGTTGGAACTCGCGGGTGGTGGAAGGTGGTCCAGGGGGTTCAGCCCACGGCTCTCCATAGCCTCACAGACTTTGACAACTTTGGTGGTCGTCATCCAAGCCGTCGCAAAGCAGCTTTGGTTTTAAAATTGTGTGTACAAAGTTGTCGAGACTCTTAATTACAGTATATAATGTTGGTTTAAAAAACTAGGCTACCACTTTTCTATTCTATTCTATTCAAAAGTCTTTTGGCACATGAGTAGCTGCCCAACAACAATGGCAACGTCCAACGAGTTAGTCTCTCACCATCACTACCCAACAGCAAATGAGCAGTTAGCCCTGTGCGTTGACAGCTCTGCAGTTCTGTTCAGAGTTCTGGAGACTGAGGACTACTTAGTGCTCAGTTAATTAACTATGACGGAAAGGCGGAGTCGCGTAAAGTGATGAAGGTTTGTGTTTGGTGGCTCTTGTTTGCCTTCTGCACAAGAAACAAACAGTCCTAAACGACGGCTGATAGGTTAATTCTCAGTTCTGTTTTGTTGAATTGTAATTCCGACCAAAGCTGTGAATAACTGATGAGATAGCCTACTAAAATAAATAAAATACAATAAAATCTTTTACCAATAATAAACTTTTATATAATTTCTTCATGATTTCATTATTTTCATATAGCATGATTTCATTCAAATATATAGCCTACAATGCAACATTTTTACGGAGCAGCCGTGTTCTCCAGTGAATTCTCATAAGATTTTCAGACATCATGAGAATTGACATTTTTAAGTGAGGCATTTTCTGAATAATATAAAATGAAGATAGGTGAGACTGTATGTAGTATGAATACATTAATTATTTATTAAATATAAAACATATAAGGTTGACATTTGATACTGAATTAAATACTGAATTAAATACAATTCAGTATTTAATTCAGTATTTAATTCATTTGATACTGAATTAAATACTGAATTGTATTTGCTGGCCATTTAAGATCGGTGCTCATGCATTCATCCCGACTCGTGCTAAAATTACCATATTTATTAGGCTATAAAGTATATTAAAATCTCGGTTTCAGATGATGTTAAATCTAAAGTCGTATATTTTTACGACACAATAACGACTGTTTCCCAAACAGCACTTTGTAATTTTTTAAGTCAGTTTATAAAGCGCATGCTTACAAAAGCTGTCAGTTCTGAAAGTTCTTAAGTTCATAACTAAGTCCCGAACTTTCACAAAGATGAACAAAAAAGTTAATAAAAAACACACTGTAAAAAGTGGTGGCCTGCAATTGTTACCTAAAGAGCTCTATTTGATTTAACCCGTAAAAAATTGTTTGTTCGTATAAATTAATTTCTTAACGTTAATTCAGACATATTATAATATTTTTGACTAGAATAAAACCAGTTAACTTATATGTTGCCATTTTTTATGCCACCATTTTCTGTGTAATTAAGTTGTTGTTGTTTTTTTTAGAAAAATGTATACTTAATTTAGAGATTAATAGAAGTACTTCAATATAAATGCATCATAACAGATCAAGATAAGTTTACAGAGACAATGGTTTTAGGCAAAACACTGTGCACTTATATCGCCCATATGCAACATGCAGTGTGTGAATGCATAGACCAGAGCAGATATGGACCTGCCATTTGATCATTGGATGAAGGAAGAAGGAGAAGATGTTGGTGCGAGTGTGGGGTGCACTTATATTTAGCTTTTTAACTATATATTTAGCTTTTTATTAAATGTAGAACTATGATCTGGTCTTCTTGTGAAATCTATTAAAACATGCAACACACACACACACACACACTCAAAAAAAACGTTAACTTTGACAACAGACTTGTCTATTTAATTTCAGGAAGTCAGTCACCCAAACAATGCTCTATCGTTTTCTCTTTTTCCTTCAAACAGCACACAGAGACATACACACTCTATTCTTGCAGGTTGTGCAGGAAACATGAATTAGCCAAGTCAATGCGGTCTGACTGTTGAGTTAATGGCAGTCTTGACCTCTTGCTGCCTTCTTTGTTAAGTGTTTCTCTTTAGGCCAAGTGGTTATGAATTAACTGGGGCAGCAAAGTCAATAATGCACTTCTATCAGAATAAATATCTGATATTAACAAATGATGGTGTTGTTATAAGTATATATTATAATGCAGCCATACTATTTATTAATATGCCTAATAACTGGTGTTTCACAGAATTTTTCAGATATAAGAATACAAATTCCAGATTAAGCATAGCAGCCTAAATTGACGAAAAAATAAAGGAACAGGAATGGAAGGGGAAACAATTCTTAATTTAAAATGTATGATGTTAAATAAACATTTACTAACTGTTACCCCCCACACATATATATATTACACTTTGTCTTACACTGAAAATCACTGAATTTTATGTCCAAAGCTTGATCGTTTAAATTTAAAGCTACATAACCTTTATGTATTTAAGAAAGATTAATTAAAAACATCTCTATACACTGTACAGTATCTTCAAGGAGAAATGAACAGTGTAGTAATTATAGACGGAAGATCATCTGACTGTATATTAGGAGCTGAGCCCCTCAGAGGGAGTGCATGTCAGGTCAGCTGAAGTTTATTTATAAATCACATATAAAACAGCTGATCTAAAGAGTATAGCTGAGGCAAATATTGAGGCAAAAAATAAAAGCAAGCTAAGAGGCAATGAATAGAGGAATAAATGAAATAATAAATAAAAACACATTGATGACTTTGATCTTTTGGTATGTGAATGTGAGATTATGTGTTTGTTGGAGGGATGGAGGAAGTGGAGGCTGAACAGTATCCGATATCTAAGTGAAGCATGAACTTGTGGTAATCCACCAAATCCCACACCTTAAAAACAGACCACCTTCAGTGATTATTAAATTACATAAGAATGTGAGGGCCGGTGTCCTGCAGAGTTTAGCTCCAACTTGCCTCAACACACCTGACTGGAAGGTTCTATGCCTAGTAAGAGCTTGATTAGCTGGTTCAGGTGTGTTTAATTAGGGTTGGAGCTAAACTCTGCAGGACACCGGCCCTCCAGGACCGAGTTTGGACAGCCCTGCTGTATAACAACACAAACTAGAACAATAGATATAACAAGAACGATAGATGTAAAAGCCCCCCTTTTTATTAGAATAATAGGCCTACTTAGTTGATACAACGTATGAAAAATTCAGGCATACAGTCCAAAAGAACATTTCTTTACCAGACTCATTTACTGCATAATTACTGAACTCCTAAAATGCAACATGTATTTCACTGAACGTGAGACTGAAGCTGCACAGCAGTCTGCTGCCTCTTTGTCCCTATGGCAGAACATTTGTTACTCTGTGCCCATGTGGCATTGTGCCTGTCTGCTGGTTAGGCCTGATGCCAGCAGACACAGTCATTCCCCTTGAAAGCTGTTCACACAGCCTGGCATGGGATGGAGGAAGTGGAGGCTGAACAGTATCCGATATCTAAGTGAAGCATGAACTTGTGGTAATCCACCAAATCCCACACCTTAAAAACAGACCACCTTCAGTGATTATTAAATTACATAAGAATGTGACATTTTTATGTGCATGATCAACATGTATTTCTGTGTAGAAGTGTTTGATCTCACATATCAGCAGTCCCTGGTCATGCAACATTTTGGTTGCATATTTTTTGATGTATGACAATTTTAGATATCTTTATAAAGAAAGAATCTGAATTGCATTGTGCTTTTAGGTTCAATGAAGGTTATTTTGGGCATCTTCTAAGATGTAAAAATAAATTCAATTTATCTCTTGTACTGAAAATAATAGCTTGCAAATGTTTCCCACACATTCCCCAAAACGAGATAATACTTTGCTTTTATTCATTTTCATGTGAATGTAAAGTTATTTAATTTTCTGGTTATGTGGTGAATAGTGGCAAAGTGTGCTGCATGAAACTTGCAGGAAAATGCTGGATTAGTCACAAAGGAACTCACATTTCTATAAATCAGCCGAACAAACAAATTAATCAAATGTCAGTTCTCAGAGTTTCAAAAATGTCATCAGTGGTTACATTCAGTTGGGAAAGTGTAATGAACTTGTCACTTGAAGGTTATTTCTTCCAAAATGCTATGAAGACATACAATTTTTCTAAACAGCTGTTTGTCTCACTGCAGAAAAGGCTTCCTGGTTTATATATAAATACTTATATATGTTATTATTAATTATTATTATTTGTAGTAGTAGTTTATTTGTAGTAGTAGTAGTAGTAGAAGTAGTGTTTTAGTAGAAATTATTTTTATTTAATTTTTAGAAATGTATTTATATGAGGAACAAAATGTATGTTATTGCACTTGTACTATTTTTGTACCATCACCACCATCATCATTATTACTAAAGCTACTAATAAACAATTTTAGAACAACAAATGTTTATGAACAGGATATCATAAAGGTCAGAGATCAATGTTGCTTGATTGCTATGTGAACAAACAGTTCAGGCTTATGTTGAGGGTCACAACCTTCAAATTAGTCACAGTAAAACATAAACCAATGGCAATGGGGTAAAATGACACACATCTATTGAATTAAAATGCTTGTGAAGCACATAACTGCAGATGAGAATTTAAGGGCAAACACTATGTAATATTGCAATTTCCCCCCACATTTTACGACCAAAGTAATTTACTTTATTATTATCATTATAAACCATTATTTCCTCTTAACCAATCTAAATAGTATTAGATTTTGCAACAATTTCCACTGTGATGGAAAACTGGTCTAGAAAAAAAAAAAAAAAGTATAACAAAACAGTATCATTTAGAACATACAGGCTTTGAATAAGCAGATTTAAAACAAATAACAGTAGAGCTTGAGAAACATAAGAGGTTTCTTGACTCAAAAACAAATGGGCATGTAGTGCAACATTATGTAGTGGCTTCAGGCCTAACAAATAATTAGGTTCTAAATCAGTGTAATTAAGAGGTTGAATCACCGAAAAAAGAAAAAAGCTCATCAACAGCGAAAAAGAGATTTTAATACCATTAAATAATTAACTGAAGCAAGGAACATTAATATAACTGTGTATTTCCCCTGAAGGTAATAGTGAATGGGCTGTAAATTAGAGGTGTTTTTTCCCCCTTGGTGA